ACTTTTGTTAACATGATAAGAAATTTGAAATGATATGAAGGCAGGAGTGTCACGGGGGCACAGTTGTTAGGCCTGCAGTGGTTGGGCCCCAGGTTCGATTCCAGATCTGGGATTTTGTCTGTGTGGGGTTTCTTTTTTCTCTCCATGTTTGTCTGTGTCTGTGTCTGAGTGTGTCCTGCGATGGACTGGCAGCCTGTGACCTTGAACTGGACAAAAGAGTTAGAGAATGGGTGGATGAAGGTAGGATTTTAATTTAGAGTTCTAAGACATTTTTATTCTTTAGAGATCCTAACACAATCATCTACTGGAAAATGCAAATGAATAACGACCAGAACACAGCTGTGCCTAGAGAAGGGCACTGATTTCTTCTTCTGCTCACATGGCCAGTGAGCCAGGAAGGTATTTCTCTAGGTAGTGAGGGTATTTTTCAGTAAGGCAGCTTCCAAGTAATTTATGTTATAAAAGGCTTTGAATGTAACTCAGGAAACAGTGTGTACAATAATGCAGCATTTACATAGCTACAGAAAGACAATGTCTCTGCATTGTGTCTCTGCTCTGTATAAATGTAAGCAATATTAATTAATTAATTATAACCACACACACTGTAATCTATGCACACTACCCTGCAAGGATACAGACATGTATGTAAGTCTTAAACACAGGGAATGTTACCCGAAGCTGATAAATGAAGAGATACTGTACCAGGCTGGAGCAGTGGTATTTCACACCAGGAGGTCATTTTAAGGAACTCAATGAAATTTGTCAGCTTCCTATTTTGAACGACAGGAGTCAGAATATGTCCAAGAGTGTGTGACAAAATTCTCAATTACAATTAGAAGAATGCATTCTCTGCCTCACATTCTCAGTGGCATCAGATAGTTTGATGATTGCGATACCGTTTTCCATCAACTTCTCTGGCATTATGAAATTAAAGTTTTCTATGCTTGTATCAGAGCTCCCACAAATATGTGGGTCTCTGTGTTGGTTTTGATATAAATGTGGAGGTGATGTGTGTATCGCATGGAGGAAGTAAGATTGGAGTGCGATGTCTTAGGAGATCCTGCCCTGGATGACCACAGGCCTAAAGAGGAGCTGTGTTGATTACCAGTAATAGCCAAGAGTCCTGCATGATGACGTAGCCTGAATTGATTTGTCGTAGAGGAGTTTTACATCTTGTTGTGAAATACTGCCTAGGTTTCTATAGAGCTCTGGAATAACAGTGGGAGGTGTGCTCTTTCTCCCATTACCTTCTGTAAAGCTCTTTCACCATGAGATGTGGCCTTATAGGTAGTAAGTCATGCATGTACTGTAGGTGCATTCTTTGTTAGCTAGTGGAGGAATGGAGTGACACATATTTGTAGATTTTACATCTATCTGTATAAGTTAGGTATTTTCACTAAAATATTTTCCTAAAAAGTCCTGAATTGAAGAATTGAACAAATAGGAGGGAAACAGAAACTTAAAAGTAAAGGGAAAACACAAAAAAAGAGGGAACAGGCAGAGTGTCTTGAGGAGTACGAAGACATTAAAATTGGGAAAAGCAGACAATGAAGGAAAAGATACTTTACTGGACAAAAACCTGGAAATAATAGAAAGGGGAAACATCATTATTCCAATGAAAAGGACACTGCTGCTCTGGAAGGAGTCCGAAGAAGAGATTGTAGAAATATTTCCAGAAATAAAACACTTGTCTTACACAGACAGATGAAAAGAAATGAACGTCTTTAACTTCAAACGAAGATGACTTTGACTTTGATTACAATAGAGTGGCATATTCAAAATCCTGAAAGGAATGAACAAAGTCACACACAGCTCTGAAACCAAGTAAGGAAGAGTAAAAACTATAGAGCTGAAGAGCTAGTAGGCCCAGGGACGAGTGTAGGAGGTGCGTCTGTGACATGTAGAGAACTACAAAGCCCTTTGTGGGCCCGGTTCCAGACAGTTCTTTCTGGCTTTGGTCAATAAGATACAATGAGTATTGATCTCAAGTTTGCAGCAAATACAGCTGCTGAAACACTTTCCAATGTTTTCTCACCTACATCCCATAAGCCATCAAAACGAACACAGTATTAAGATTATATTCACAATCATATACTGTAAGTGACAATCACGTTTTAAAAAAATGGTCTTCATTTTATAACTATTGATTCTGTTCTAACCCAGCACGAGTTGCTTATTTCTATCAGGTTGTACTGTTTTTGCTTGAACAAGTCTTTTTTATTGACAACAACAGAGAACAAAATGTCCGACACAAGTCATAACTAGGTGATTACATCCATTTCAATAAACCAACCACTTTACCAACACCCTCCCCACTTTGAAATTTGACTGGAATTATTTGAATTGGTTCAGCACAGGAGACTCTTGTCATAAAGAGTGCTGCTACCAAGGGTATGTCAAGTTGTAACAAGTACTTCCCATTCCTTCTGTTATTAATAGACATCTCTACGACACAGAATGTGGACACCTTGACAGCGGTTAATTACAGCTTTAAAAGGTAGGCTGACTGAAAATCAGCACTGAAAACGAAGGTCCCTTCTAATGCTGCGAGTTAAGAAGGCAGGTTTAAGAGATTTCAATGCGAACAGATCATGATGAGCTGTAAACAGAATCGGCCTGAGAGGAGCATCACTGCTGCAAGCACTTTTCTAACGGCTGCCTTTTTCTCTGCCTCGATCAGGAGGAAAGACAGCTGTAAAGCGTGTTGAGCCAATGCGCTGTGGAGAGGCAGAATGAGCTGACCACTCGTGACCAGGCCTGAGCGGCTTCAGATTGCTGCTGTTATTCTCTTGAGCAAATTACTCTGCTCAGGACGTGCAGGCAAAATACCCCAGCTGTGCCACAATTTGTACAGAAAAGCAGTCAGTCCCTTTGGATGCAAGTGTCTGCCAAATTAATGACAATAATGGCTGTTCCTACCTACAAAAGAGCATGAAATGAAGATTATTGTACTGTTCATTTAATTTTAAAACCAAAATTTTCTCCTTTAGTACCGGCACCTCCAGTCCTGTTCACTCTGTTTTTGACGCGGGGGGCTGCACTGGTTTGGGAGGATCTCTTAGGTCTTGTTTATGATCAAACTGTAATTCACCATTGCTACAGACAATGATGGTTAGAAATGAAATGTCAATGCACTTAGAAGGAAAGCAGGGCATGGAAGGCATTTTGCACAAAGTTCTGAAACTCATAGATTAACAGTGCTCTCCTGTGCGACACAGAAACTCTTCCCCTGCATTTTTTTTTCTTTCTTTTAATCAGCCGTGAGAAACCTTGTCAACTGCAGTCATTGAGAAAGGCCAGAACAATGCAGCAAGCAGCACAGAGAAATAAATCCCACATAGCAAAGGAGCATTGTTAAAGTAGGAGGGATGCTCAAATAACACTGCTTCTACTAAGTGACTTCCAGAGGCGCCGATTAGACCCATCAGGAGCTATCAGAGACACTATGGGCACACTGCTTTGTGCTGGCTCCGATAATGAGTCTTGTACCATACGTTTACAGGTATAGCTGCATATTCAGATTCTACAGCTAACCTCTTATTATGGGACTGGCTACGATACAAGTGCAAGAAGTTTCTGTTTATATTTATTGATGAAAAAATGAACTTCCAGGATCTGCTTCTGTTTCATTTCTGTTTTCAAGTGTCCACATGACCTACTCCAGCTTTCTGATTATGTAGTGAACTGCAATCTGATCCGTGAATTAGAAATGCATCTGAAAGGACATTTCCAGCAAGCAGTGTGGACCCCATTCGCATGCATTTGGAATGGAAAGTTGCAATCACTACAGTGCATGCTACAGAACTAAAAATACACACTAAATAATGGGTACTTTTTCAGCAAGGTATAATACCTGCCAAAATAAATTAAACAGTGGTTCTTACTTCGTGGTGAGACTAGGCACTGCTAATACCCTACCTAATCCTTTTTCAGAATGCCCAAAAAGGCAGAAGACTACAACCTCTCACAGAACTAAGCCAAAGGCTTCTTTTTGCCCCCCATTCAAACCAGTTAGTGCAGCACAAGAACATTGTGTTCTGCCACTATCTTACTGTAACTACTGTATACAAACAATATTGTTAATGACACTGTGATATACAAATAGAACTAAATATTTTATAAGGACAAAAGCCGGCTGTACAGTACACTAGATGGACAGACAATGTACAGTACAGTTCTTCAGCACCTTGTAAAGGTGCTTTACTCAAATAAATAAAAAAAATGATGAAATATCCAGACTTGAACCTAAAAGGATAAAAAGAAGTTAATTGCAAAGGTGTAAATGTCATTAGTTTAAGCCTGAAACATTTTTACACACTTGCACGATGGTAAGCGGTAAACATTTATATTCCAAGATACTTTTCGAGCAGACACACCTATGCCCTCAGTTTTATTTTTTTAGGAACTGCACACTACTTGTTGGAAATACCACAAAAGGTCCAGCTGGCTAAGATTCCTACGTTGCTTAAGACGGACAACTGGGAATAACAGAAGACCATTGGGGTGGTGAGATATGGGTGGGGCTGAAGCTTTGTATGAAGCAAAGTGAGACATGCAGCTGTGTCTGCCTAGAGGTTATTGTTGACTTGAAAAAAAGTCATGGTTATGAGTAGAAGAAATGGAAGAAAGGGGAACTACCTTGAGCAATGCTATGTTCGGACTGCTTGGGCATGCAATGACCTACGTTCAGGCAACCATGCCAGGCTTTGCACTTCTGGCTTCACCGCTATGCCATGAAGACGATCTTGAGCGCAGTGTCGCATTGCAGCTATACTGAGTCATTCAACGCGGGGTGATCGCTCCACAGATTCGTACCCAAACTTCCTTCTCCCGTTCTTGTCTAGTTTTGACTCCAGCTCTGCCGCAACCCCCATTCACCGGTTCAGCCTGCCAGTGTGTATCCCACTTAATTTTGGTGACAGCCTAATTCTGTGCGTGCTCCGCTCTCTGTGTTTTGGGCTACACAGGGAGACCCGTGCACGCCAAACGTGTGCGCTCACCTGGCGCGGCTGTGCTTGCTGTTGGCACTCTGCTCTCGGCGCTGGGGGGCCCTGATGCTAACCGCCTCGTCGGCTCTCACGCCGCTGCCCTGCAGGAAGGCTCGGGGGCCCTGGCACAGCAAGGGGGGCGCCTCCGGCTCACAGCCCCCGTTCTCCACACCACTGCCCTGGAGCGGCCGGCAGCTGGCATCTGACAGACAGAGAGAAGAGGAGGGGAAGGGGGAGTGGGGGGGTTAGTGAGGGCAGACAGCAGGGCAACCACTCACATGAACTGGCAAGACCTGGTCACACTATTGAGTGTATGCCACTACTGCTCTAGCATATGGCTAATCATCATTGGCAGATCTAGGATACTGCTGTCTGTCGATGATAGAAGCTGTAAGACAATGGCCTCACAGACAAGATAGCAAGGCTAAATGCTTTTGCTGTGTGGCAAAGGCAAGAGCTTTGCTTGGAGAAGTGGATGCGAGTGTCATCCAAAAGACTGCAATGCTAGATAAGGATGGAGAGGGAACTGCTGTAGAACTGCAAGCAAATTCTTTGTCTCCTATCATGTCTGTAGACTTCGAAGATGATGAGGGGGGTCAAGTGACATTGATCACAGACACCTAGTATAGTTTAAAACTCTGTCTGAGGAAAAAAAAACTGTTGGCGATGCTCTTGCTCATTTTAAGAACAACTGTTTCAAATGACTCATCTTTGAAAGAGTTTAAATTAAACGGGCACTGAATCTTTTACCTCCAGCTATTTTCCAGCTATTTTCCGTCCTCAGAAAAATGAGGTCTGGTGAACAGACCTTTTTGCAGGACCTTTTTGAAGGAAGAATATCATCGTTGCTAAAGTATGGATCTCTTATGAAATGGTGTGGTTAGTCAGGCACCAAAGTATTGCAGGAGACACTCGGTCTACAGATCCTTTCTTACGGCAAGCCACTAAGCACAGAAGGGACTATAACCAGAAACATCCTGGAATGAGGCTAAATATCCTGGTTAAGTGAGGATGCCCATACTATGAACCTTTCGCTGTTGTAAATACACATTGAAGACTTTCAAATCCTCTGCTGGGGTTCACATGAGTCTTGACCATGGCTTGTTGAGACAGATCAGGCCTATGCTGCAAGAAATCGAAGGTCAAAGCAGGGATGCTGACAAACTGAAGGTCAAAATGTCGAGTCAACTCTAGGAAGGATCCTTGGACTATGAAGATACCAAAGCACTTTCCATTGATATGCTTACTTTCTCAATTAGAAAGTTTAAGAAAAGCAGAGCTGCCTTAAAGAAACACAGAATATTTGTTTACCACCCCACTTCTGAAACCGTTCCTGTTCAATTATCTCTATATGAACACACTTGTTCCCACTCATCAGAGCCCAGACCAGACTGAGCTGGTTTTCCTTCTGGGCTTTGACCTAAAGACAATGAACTGGAAATCATCTCTTATTGGCACAGATTGTAAGACTGGAGTGGTGAGGGTGCTCCAGGCCATGGCACAACCACAAATTGTTTTCAGATTCATACTCTGTATTTGGACTTATGGCCATCCAGCCCAGTCTATTGTTAAGGTGCATTCATGTAAGAGAAATTCATAGATGTATGGCCCTATGTGCTGCTGTGCTCTATATGTGCAGGGATAGGTTTTTCGAGGCGTCATGATAAAGGTGTTCACTGCAATAGTTCAAAGTAAATGGCATAAACTTCAGAGCGAACCAACTAAGATCTTAAGTGGGGGACAAATAAAAAAGAGGAAAACCAACAATTAAATATCATCAATGGGAAAGACTTAGCTACATACTGCCCCGTCAAAGATTTTTAATAGTTCTACAGTAGGCTTTGGAAAGGAAGCAACATTGCATGAAAATTGGGGCACAGAAAGTGCAGTTCAGAATGTATTTCATATCTGATCCTTAAGGGATTACTTACAATGAAAATCCGATTTTCAATGTTTGAAAACAATAAGGTTTCATTACATTAATATACAGTTCAGTAGGATAATGCTGACTGTTAACTTCCATTATATTCCAGATTTGAATTACACAGTAGAAACTGTGTGCCATGTGAATTCTACATGACCGACTGTTCTTTTACAGAAACTTTACTATTTTCAGTGCAGCCTTTAATCCTTAACTGTATATTGGTACAGAAGTGCACAGATGTGGCCTAGCTGATGAAGGCACCCAAATACAGGAGGCTAACAGAAGTCTCTGGTTCACAGTATGAGGGACATTCTGATTTGGGAATGGTGGGTGATTGCTGAGCAATGAAGTGGGCATTTAAGAGTTATTTAGAATCAAGTTGTGTTGGAATAGGTGGTTGATGAGAACTTACTCAGATTATAAGAATGCACCACATTGATCATATTTTTATATAGGCCACTAACCCCTAGTTGTGTACACTCTGTGATCACACTTTTAAAAAAACATCTTTGGAGTACTGCTGCTGCAGAGACCAGGGCCTTACAAGTGTAGTGTGTGGAAAGGGGGAAGAGGGGCTGTTAATTGAAGGATTGTCGTAGCTTTCCAGTTTTCCAGTTTGCAGAAGTCAAAAACAAAATCGGTCCTCTGGCAGTCTTGTTACTGGTAGACCAGCAGGGGGCACTCTTCTCTATAGCTCAAATCAGTTTCATGAGAGCTGATGTGTTCTGGAAGAGCTGCAGTCCAACTACAGTCACAGCCGCACTGCTCGTGACGCCAAGGCACTGTTTGCAGAAACAGAGGCCTTAACCCAGGTGTGGCTCCATTCTGGCCCTGCCTCGGGAATGCTGGTCAAGGATTTAAGGATTCTCGGTTGCTGGCGAATGGCACCGCACTCTGCAGCTGCTGCGCCTGCGGTTCACTGCATGAAGACTGCTCTCAGTGCAGTTGCCACTGGGTGGAGGCTGAGGTCCCTTTAGTGTGGCTGCCTGTGTATTTGGAAATTGATTCTGTTCCAGGTCACGCAAGCAGCCACTGTGGAGACAGCTATAGCATAGCAACCTCCCCCCCACCCCCTCCACATCCCCTTCCTTTCCATCTGTATTCACATGTTCCTCATTAAAAAAGCTGGAATAACCTGTAAGATGTAGACGTGAGTAAAGCTGACAGGGAATTGGGGGGGAGGTAGTAGGGACTGGGTGGTGACAGCTGTACGCATAGTGTGAAGTTTAGGAAGAGATAAAGAGCAACCTAAAGCTCTTTCATCCTCTTCCTTTCCAAAACCAACACAACAGCTTCCGCGTCCCATCGGTAAATACAAACTGCTGTTCCCAGGTAGTGCAACAGCAGCTCAAGCCCTTTCAAGACAGAGAAGGGGAGACGGAGGCAGGCAGGGTGGTGGTGGTAGTGGTGGGGGGTCGGTCAGAGTCAGAAGAAAAGAACAGGAGGAGAGAGATCAGCTTGTGCTGGAGCTGGAGGGGGTCAGAGACAAGCTGCCACCTTTGCATTCCTGTACTTAATGAGGCATGAGGCTCTGGAGAGATACAAAGGGCTGAACAGAGCTCTCTCTGTATGGCCGCACCTCCTGCCCACTTCCCCTCCCCGGCTGAAATGTGTGACCTTTAGCCCTCAAGTCTCCTCCTCACAGTGACGCTGGTGTAATACGAGCGACCCTTTAGTCTTAAAGGAGAAGGTAATGTTTTGGGAAGCTAACTTGTGATTCCTTTATTCCTTGTTTCATAGCTCACCAAGTTGGGGCATGTGTGTATGACCAGTGTGGCTCTAAATGAATGAACTTTTTTCTGTTCTGTGCAGTCAACCTGCTCCAACAGGTACCTAGCAGAAGGATGCAAGAAGACTTGTTTCAAGTTCTCTATCCTGACAGATCTTGGCATGGTCAACCTAAAGGACTACTTCAGGACCACTAATGAAAAAAGTACACAATGACACAAGTGGGAATTACAAATGTGAGCATTAAAGACTGAAATGAAGAGGCACTTCCTTACACAAACTGTGGGGGGATTCTGGAAGAAGATTATCCAGCCATGTTGTTGAAGCAGAGTTCCTGGGGATATCACAAGCCACCCCAAGTGTACTGTAAGTTAGTTAAGTTGTTCTTATGTTCTTAAGTGAGAGGAACATTTTCAGTAAAGAGGAAGTATTTCAGTGGTATACTCAAAGGACAAGGGGTGCCCTGACTTTATTTGCTTTGGGCACGTTCTTGCAATTCAGCTATGAGACATGATTGCTCAGGGCCTACGTTAATGACCAAAACATTTGTCTGAATGGCAAAACGGATTCACATAAATCAGTTAGGGCAGCACACAAGAATTTAAGAAAGAAAATGCACACCGTTTAAATTGTGTTTTAATAGCAGACCAAATGTGATTCATAATTAAAAACACAGTTTGAGTGCACTTTACAAGCAATGTGTTTTACTTGCTGTTATTCATGATATTTAGACTGACACCCAACTACTCCAACTCACTACTTATGGGGCATACTGTTCCGGGAATACAGTAGATGAAGATGATAATTTTGAATTTACCTCCCATTCATGTTTTTCTGTTTCCTCACAATAGTGATAATTGCAGTCCCCAGAACAAAAGAAAATGGTGAGGTAAGTCTAACAGTTGGCATAAGATTCAATATCCAAAACCTGTGCTAATCTTCTCAGATCATTGCAGTCTAAAAATCTACAAAAGGAGTCTCTTCTTCATCCGCTGTTAGTGTAAGACAGAGTGGTTGTCTCCTCAGAGGTGAAGCCTTTGCAGCTCTTTGTCCGTTCTGCCAAATTTCTAATGCTGAAATACTGGCACAGTGCTAAAATCATTGTTACTGCAAGACTGTCATCTACCACACAGAGGAAGCTGTCAGTCATACCAGCATCCAGACACACATTCAGAGCTCAAATGGGCAGGGCAGTGTAATACACACCCTGCAAGAGCTGTAACTGCCTCGGCATTCTAAATAGCTTTTGATAGTCCAGTAGAGAAACGAGCACAAAGAACCACATGAATCAGTCTCGCTGCTTGCAACACCGATGTCAAAATAATAATAAAAATGCATTTCTAAGTGCTTTTTAAACCCCAGGCAACATTAATTAAAGCATGTCTTAACTAATTGTGTCTTTAGTTGAATTCTCTTTTTTTATAGGGCTCTGATGTGACAATTTCAGGAAAGGGAAAGGCCCCACCTCAAAAAATGCAAGATATGGGGCTGCCAGTTTGAACCCAAGCTATGCTACCAGTGGATTATTGTGGGGGAGGACCAACAACTGT